TGTTTTTAAATTTTTTTTTTATTTTATTTTTTTTTTTATATTTTTTTTATATTTTTTTTATTAAGTTTATTATATTTTATTTTTTGTTTTTTTTGTTTTTTATAAGTTTTTGTTTTTTTTTTTATTTTTTTTTTTTTTATTTTTTTTTTATTTTATTTTTTTTATTTTTTTTTTTTTTTGTGTTATTTTTTTTTTTTCGTTTTAATTTACTGTTTTTTATTTTTTATATACTTTTTTTTTTTTTTTTTTTTTTTTTTAATTTTTTTTTTTTTGTTATTATATTTCTTTTTTTTTATTTTTTGTTTATTATTTATTTTTTTTTATTTGTATTTTATTTTTTTTTTTTTTATTTTTTTTTATTTTTTTTTTTTGTTTTTTATTTCTTTATTTTTTTTTTTTTTTTACTTTTAATTTTTTTTATTTTTGTATTATTTTTTTTTTTTTTTTTTTTTATTTATCGTTTTTTGTTTGTTTGTTTTTTTTTTATTTATTTATTTTTTTATTATTTTTTTTTTTTATTTGTGTATTGTTTATTTATTATTATTGTTATTTTTTTTTTTTTCTTTTGTTTTAGTTTATTTTATTTTTTTTTAATTTTTTTTATTATTTTTTTTTTTTTTTGTTTTTTATTTTTTTTTTTTTTTTTTATTTTTGTTTTTTTTTACAATATTTCGTTTTGTTTTTTTTGTTTTTTATATTTTTTTTAATTTGTTTTTTTTTTTTTTTTTCTTTTAATTTTTTTATATTTTTTTTTTATGTTAGTAACTTTTTTTTTTTTTTTTTCTTATATTATTTTTTTTCTTTTTTAATTTTTTTTTGATTTTTTTATTGTTTTTTTTTTCTTTTATTATGTTTTTTTTTTTTTCTTTTTTTGTTTCTTTATATTTGTTATATTTTTTATTTTTATTTTTTTTGTATTTTTTGTTTTTTTTATTTTTGGTTAAATTTATTTTTTTTAATTATTTTTTAATTTTTAAGTTTTTATTTTTTTTTTTCTTGTTTTTTTTTGTTATTTTTTTATTTTATTTGTGTTTTATTTTTTTTATTTTTTTTATTATTGTATTTTCTTTACTTTATAATTAATTGGTTTTATGTTTAGATTTTTTATGTTTTATGTTTTCTTTATATTTTTTATTTTTCTTTTTTTTTAAATTTTTTTTTTTTTATTTTTTTTTTTATTTCTTTTTTTTTTATTTTTTATTTATTTTTTTATTTTTTTTGTTATTGTTTTTAAGTTAAATATTTTTTTTTTTTTGTTTTATTTTTTTTTTTGTTTTTTGTTTTTTTATTTTATCTTTTTTTTTTTTTTTTTATTTTTTTTTTGGTTTTGTTTTTTTTATTTTTTTTTTTTTTATTATTAGTTATATTGTTATTTTTAATTGTTTTTTTTTTTTTTTTTTTTTTTTGTTTTTATTGTATTTGTTTGAGATTTTTTTTTTTTTTTTTTTTTTTTGTTTTTTTTTTATTTTTTTTTTTTTTATTTTTTCTTTATTTTTTTGTTTATGTTTTTTTTTTTTTTATTTTTTTTTCTTTTTTTTTTTTTATTCTAATTTATTTTTAGTTTATTTTTTGTTAATTACTATTTTTTGTTTATATTTGGTTATTTTTACTTTTTATAATTCTTTTTTTTTTTATTTCTTTATAATTTTTTTTTTATTTTTATTCTTTTTTTTTTAAATGTTTTTTTTTTTTATTTCTTTATTTTTTTTTTTTTTTTTGTATAGGTTCTGTTTTTTTTTTAATTCTTGTCTTCATTTTTTTTTTTCTTTTTTTATTTAGATTTTTTTTAAATTTCTTTTTTTTTATATTTTTTTTTTTTTTATTTTTTTTGTTATTTTAATATTTGTTATTTTGTTTTTATTATTATTATGTTTTATTTTTTTTTGTATTTAAGTTTTTGTTATTTTTTTTTATGTTTTTTTTTTTTTTATTATTTTTTTAGTTTTTTTGTTTATTTTTTTTTTATTACTTTTTATTTTTTTTATTTTTTTTTATTTTGCTATTTTTGTTTTAATAATTTTTGTTTTATTATTTTGTTTTTTTTTTTTTTTATTTTTTTTTTTTTTTTTTTTTTTTTATTTTTTTTTTATTTTTTTTCTTCTTTTTTTATTTATGTAGTTTTTTATTTTTTTTTATTTTTGTTTTTAATTTATTTTATGTTTTATTGTTTTTTTTTTTTATTTTTTTTTTTTTTTATTTTTATTTGTTTGTTTTTTGGTAATTTTTTAATTTATTTTTTTTTTTTTATTTTGTTTATTTAAAGGATACAACTCAGGAAAGCCAGATCAAAGAGATGCATGGAGTAAGATGTGTGTGTGTGTGAGGGGGCAGGAGATTCTTCCATACCCGCCTCCAGATGGAAGGAGGCACCTACCTCTCAGCACCTAATGCCACGTGCTCCACCAACTGGAAGCTCTTCTGAAACCCCACCTTTTTTGGGGTGTTTATGGAGCTTAATTACATAAGCATGATTGCTGAAAAAAAAAAAATCATCGGCATTGGTGATCAAATCAAATTCTAGGGCCCTCTACCCCTCCCTGGTGGAGTTGTAGGGGGGTAGGGGCTGAAGTTTTCCCCCCCCCCCCCCCAAATCTTTTCTAATGGTTGGGCTCCCCTTGGAAACCAGCCCTCATCCTTAGTCCAAAAGTCCCCACCTCATTAACTGATGTTACAGTAACTTGATGCTTACTCAGGTGTGGTCAGAAAGTACTTGTCCAGTACATTCCAGGTTGCCACATGCCTGAGGGTCCTGTGGGGCATCTCACACCTCAGCATCACGAGAATCCCCAATGCAGGAAAAGGGGGGGTGTGCACACTGGCCAAGGTGAGGGGGGTCAGATTATCCCCATGTGAGCTGGGCAAAGCCTGCAGACGACCAGCGTGCTGTAGGCACCTTGCTGAGAATAAAGCGGGGCTGATAGGATTGGAGTGATGTACAGTGTGTCTTGACACAGTATTCAATGCATATTTGTTCAGTATAAGAAAAGAAAAATGAAAAACAAAAAACGAATTTTCACAATATTCAATCACCAATGTGTTGATCACAACATGTTGGCCATTTTCTGGACCTCTCTAATATAGAAAAACATTGTTGAGAGTTGGTTTTGTACATGCTTCCTGAGTTTTTGTTACCTCTCCCCACCCACCAAGCATCCCTTGGTTGACATTTAAGAATCAGATGAAGCTTCTACTTGTGACTTACTTGACATAACCAAGGGAGTAGGCTGTGCTGCTCCACAAGGCTGCTGGCAGCCTCGGAGGTCCTAGAAGGTTGGTGAAAACAAAACAGCCAATGCCTATTAAGCACTTTCCATGTTCACGGGCTGCACCTTGCTGGCATTACTCTATTCCTTACTATCCTATACGGCGTTTACTGTAAGTTTCGCAATATTATTCTAGTTGTATTATTCTCCTCTACAACTTCTTCTCTTGCAGAAATACCAAATATCCTGTCATCTTTGTAAAACACAGCCCTTGCCAGCATCCCATGCT